CCTGTTATTATTCAGGTTGCCATGAATCATTTCTAAGTAGCATGAGCCAAGAAGCACTTGCAAATGGCTCTTCTACATCTTCTCAGATTGGAATGAAATATTTTGCTAGTATTCTGAATTTGACAGAGATATTTATGGATAAACCTTGAAGTTCTCAGAAAATCACATTTTATGTGCACTATGCACTTGGAGGATTATAAGATTAGGGAATGGCATATTCTAGGCTGTTATGTTAGGGACCATGGAAAGACAGTTTTGTATAAATATGGGAAACACAGAGAAAAATAAACTAATTAAATCAGGATAAATACCTCTGAAGCTTCAGTCCCAAGTCATTACTTGCAATTATTTTGTTTAATAATGCTGAAAATATTAGTTTTATACACCAGGAACAAAATTAATTACCTAGCTTACATTTAAAAAAAACAATGATCAAAAGCTTGTTGAACATTCCAGTTCTGAGTCCTTTTTTTGCAGTGAATTTCAACAGAAGTACCTTTTTTTTAAAGAGGGTTATGAACACCAAAACATATTTGTAAAACTTCTCTGTATAACTGCTGGCATGTCCATATAAAACTCATATTTTTATGTTTTGTATACAATGCAAACTCTATCCATCTACCCATCCTTCTTTAAAGTTATGTTTCAACTCTGAAAAGTAAATAAGCCTGAAAATTTGAATCAGTTTCAGCAAACATAGATTCAACAGCATGGACCAGCTAGTTATTAGCATCAACAGAACACCCCCTCTACCGTGACAAAGAAGTCATAGGAAGAACCATACACTACAGCGGGCCACAGATGAGAGCCATGTGAATATTTCAGCACAGGTACATAATTTACATTCTAATTGACAAATTGAGACAGCACCCAGTATCCCAAGGATTTTAAAGCTTCCTTTACTTTCAGCCAGCCAGTATCTTAGTTAGCTGAGTATGAGCATTCTCACAACTTCAATACCCAGGTGCACTAAACAAGACATGTATCAAAATGTCAGTCAACTGCTTAAGCATAAATGTTCCATAAAACTGAAACGTCAAAAAATTCTGTATTGAATTATCATTACTGTATGATGTATAACAGTTCAATTAAAACTCCTAAAGAGATAGTGACAAACTTAAGTTCAATTGGCTTTCCTGAGCAACTTACCTTTTGTTTGCTTGGAAACAATCCCATTGTGTCCTTAGTTGACAGATCCCACAACAGTTTCACAGCAGACAGTGATGGATAAAGCAAATGCGTGCTCTTTAAGTTCAGGAGTTGATGAACAGGTATTTTACAATCTGGCTCACAGCTCCACCCCACTTAATTTTCATAAAAGTGAAGCAATCGCTTTCATTAAACTATTATGCTGAGAGCAATGAACCAGCATACCAGACATCCACTTGCAGCTTCACCGACACTGGTCAGAGAAGTACAATATAAATTAAATTGATGACGATGGCAATGATGATGACAATGGCATTAATAACATTAGTGAAGAAAGCTGTGATCTTTTAATGTTGAGTCAATTAACATTAAATGGGCTAAATAAATTTTTAAACACAAGCATCTTTATTTGAATGGACTCCTAACTATATAAAGCAAATGAGCAAGCATGATAATAAAAAAAGGTAGAAAATACTCAAGATAATACAGAGAAAGCAAAACCAGGCCAAAACTGACCTCAACTGACTTCAGGAGATGGTGGAAGCCGTTAGCCTGCTAGAAGAGGAGACCCAATTGGCTCTTCATGAGGTCAACTCAAAAAAAGGATGGATATTCCTATTCTTCATACTTATGTCAATGCACTCTTATATTGTATATCACTTTACTTCATTACAATTTCTGGTAAGCATTGGTCGTATTGGGTAAAAACCAGATCAGGTAATACATTAAGTAACTTAGACATTTTAGAACTTACATATACTTCAGGAAGGCTTCCAGAACTCAATATTAGCTCAAAGGCGACAAAAGGTTCCAATGCTTTCCTCAAAATGACAAAAGCAGCATCACACCATCATGATGCAAGTTCCATCCCTTTCAAATGAGCACTCAAGGACACAATAAACTACAAAAGGGACAGAGCTTGTGTCCTCTAGACAGCTTTCAAGAACTCAGGAAATAGAAATCTAGAAACTAGTTTATTTTTGATACCATAGAGATGGTATGTTATTTCACCCTCTCTTCTGCTTTGGGTTCCTTCCCACTTTATTTCATTCAACAACAATGCAACTAAAGTTTAAATGTACAGCAGAAACAGGACTATGCAGGAAGGCCATATAGCGATCAGAGGCTTCATCAAACAGACATTTGTGCAATCTCATATAAAACATTGTTGGAAAAGACCATGAGGCTGGGAAAGATTGAAGGCAAAAGGAGAAGGGGACAACAAAAGATGAGATGTTAGATATTGTCATCGACACAAGGGTTGTGAGTTTGGGCGGATTCCAGGAGACAGTGGAAGACAGGCAGCCTGACATGCTGTGATCCATGGGGTCACAGGGAGCCAGACACAACTTAGAAACTGAACAAAATAACAACATACAAAATGATCTCCCTCATTTCATATACCCAAAATCAGGTGGAACATAGCTACAATAAAAAGAAGGTGATGATTTTCCTTAACCTAAGAATGGAATTCTAGACAGGGTATCCAGGCAAAGAACTCTAATGATGTGTGTGGCATATTCTTACCTATACCAACTGTGAAAACTAGAATTAAAGGCGTGAAAGAAGCCAAAAGAAAGTCAAAACTTACTGAAGGATACAAGCACCTTCTGAAAATTAGAAAACATTGCAGCAAAGATCGGTTTGTATCTAGCCTGGAAGAGTATCTTTTTTTTTTCAGGCTGGAAATAGAGAATTACTTTTTCAAGCAGCTGAAGGTAGAATAACAGTAGGAAAATGTCTTCACTTTCTCTTGTGTTTGTACCTTGTTTGTTTTAAAGTTTGGGGATGTTTGAAAAACCTGCCAAACTAGTTGTACCAAAAATGACAGTGGAGTGAAAATATTCCTGTGGATAGTGTCATTACATACACTAATCACTAGGTGACACAACAGTTAGTTATATCTCATCATAGTCAGGAGTCTCGTGTTGTTTTTCAAAAGAGACAATAAAATTGTTGTCATTCTTCCTGAATAATATGTCCTTTTAGCTTTGTAAGATGAGGATTCAGGAGACATATTTCTAAATATCAGTTCCTAATAAAATAAAAACACAAGGCACAGTGTCCCTGGCCAGAAATTTTTAATATTAATAATCCTGCATCCGCAGGTGCCATGCACATGTTTTTTTTGTCCTTGCTACTAGTTGTGCGTATTTATACCATCATTCAGCATTCATCATGGTGTCACTATGAGAATAGGGTGACCTCCAATTTAGTGGCTGGTTATCTTGACTTCCCACTCTATGGGCTCCATTCTAAAAACAGGTTGCCAAATTGCTGGAGATCTTGGCCTCAAAGTACTGGTGTTTAATGCCAGGTTTGTTTGTAACAAGACCACCTCTATCCATGACTTATTGGTGGATGCAGCAGAGGTGGCATGCATTGCCAAAATCTGGCTGGGCAGTGGCCATCATGTTGCCTTGCCTGAAATCTACCCAACTGTGTATCAAATCCTTCAGCAGGCTCAACAGGAGTTGGTGGGATACAGTAACAAATCACTTTACCTATAGCTATTTACTCTGCTCCCACCATACAGAATGTGAAAGTCTATATGATAGGTTGGGTCGTAGAGAGGAACTTGAGATTCTGCTGGTGTCCCAGCCATCCCTGCTGCCTGAAGAACTCTTCATGGATTGCTGCAGATAGTCTCTGGGTTAGTGTCCTTTGTGAAGGACTTCATCCTCTATGCTTTGGGGACGTGATTCTGATAACATCTAGGCCTGATAGGTGAAGGTCAGGTTACACCTTGTCTTTTTTTCCCCTATTACTATTATTATTATTATTATTATTATTATTATTATTATTATTATTATTATTATTATTATTATTATTATTATTATTATTATTATTATTATTATTATTATTATTATTATTATTATTATTATTATTATTATTATTATTATTATTTTTGGTGGAGCTGAGGTTCTATGATTTTGAGAGAAAAGGGATTTCCACTACCTTTTTGCTGTGGTCAAATCATATTTTGATCTAATTGAGAAACACTAGATTGGGGTGGAGGGGATGAGACATTGGTGGCAGATAAGCTTCACAGCACCCTAGAAAAAGTGGATGAATTTATTCTTTTTCGTCAGGCCCAAGTATCAAACTGAGGTGGTTTTGGCTGTCTCTTGGATGATCTTTGTCAAGACCTGGATGGGATGCTACACTTTCCTGGTCTTCTTATATCTCTAAGTGTTTTTTTGATATCATTTAAAGTGGCTATGTTACTGGGCCACCTACAGGAATTAGGGATATAAGGCACTGCCTTAGAGTGTTTCTCCTCTTCTTAGCAAGGTTTTTCAGAATTGGTTTGCCATTGCCTCCTTCCTAGGATTGAGAGACAGTGACTGGCCCAAGATCCCTTAGCTGACTTTGTGTCTAAAGCAGGACTGGAACTCACAATCTTCTGGTTTCTAGCTTGATGCCTTAACCACTACACCAAACTTTTTATTTTTGTTATCTCTCTGCATATGTTATAAAACCATTGGATATTGGGAGACTGTATCAGAATATAATTAATCAATTATATTAATCAATTAATCAAATAAATATCAAAGCAGTCCAGAGTAACCCCTGCTAACTGCAAATAGAAACAGGAAGGAAAATAACATTGGTCAAAAACAGAAAGGCAGTGTCAGATCTACGCAACTAAAAAGGTAGCATGACTGTCAATCTCAGTTAAGTAATTAAATCAGAAGCTCTTTTTTTTAAAAAAAAAAGCATTTTATTTAGAAGTCTACCAGTTACAACCATTAACATAATTATATTAGACAGTATGTTTACTCCTAAATTTATAGGTGTTTGTATCTTGGAACTGTGTTTAATACCACAACTTGTATTACTGGTATCTATTATTTCTGGTTCTTCTGATATTTTTTCCTGTGCACTGCAGCCTGAAAGGCTTCAATGATTTTGCTTTCATTGTTGAGGATGTTGTATTCTGTTAATTTCACCAGTTTGTCAAAATTGTCTTCTGAGAAGGTCACCTCCCTTGTACCAAATGGGGAAAAGAAGCTGGAGATATCCACATTGCCCTCTTCCATATTAGTAGATGAGCGTTCCACACCTATAAAAAAAAAAAAAGCAACACTTCCATCAATAGAGCATAGATTTAAGATGGTACCTTTCAGATTATTGGATTTCAATTCTGTTTCTGCTCAGGGAAGGTTGATCTAAGATATGATTGCGAAGATTCAGTCAAACCAGTCAGTTGAATATGATAGGTTTATTGGCCTTATTTAAATACTACTTATTATTTAGTTCTCTTGTATAAATACAATATTGGGGTCCTATAAATCAGTTTTCTGTAAGAGTACACAAAACTATGGAATCACAATCACATCAAAACTCATCCACAATGATATAGATGGCATGGCACCTAGTCTCTGTTGTTAAGCATGTAACTCATAACCCTAGTTACTCATAGAGTTTCATTAGTCAGATTTATTGAAAGTAAAGGGGTTAGGTTACAGAATCTAGGAAACAAGAACTCTTTTGTTCAACACCCTAATTATCAGAAAATATATTAAGAGAGGTCTCTTTGACCCCTTTGAACCAACTGCTTTTATGTTGGGGGAATATTGCTATCCAATTGACTGATAAGATGTTCTGGCCTTGTAATATTTTGTAGCCATTGTTCCTATTCCAAGAAAATTCCATGATACTTGGGTATTTGAAAGACTGCAAGTAGAACCAATTCTTTCAGTACATTCAGCCAGAATGGGGATGCTGAAGGTATCTCCCTAAAAGCAATACAAGAAGGAATGGCAGCATTTTCTCTAATTTCCTATTTCTTATACCACAGAACAGCTTTGTATCTCCAGAAATATGAATGGTACCCTCCCTCACAATTTTTGGAAAGGTTTGAAAATGGAACCCTTTTGCAGAACTTTTAATAAAGGAGGAAGAAGGAAGTCACCATGAGATGCTACATTTATTGCTTACAGGGTTATGGTTAAGGTATGTNTTATATTAATCAATGAAGAATTAGGAACAAAAAGTGGGAAATGAAAAAGACTTGCTTGATTAGCAAATTAAATTTAGGATAATGTTAAGTTTAGGATGATACCCGATTATTATCATTTACCAAGCTCAGCTTATGACTTAGCACGATGACTTAGCTTGTTCAACAAAACCATAGATAAAACAAAGCATTATGTGAAATATGACACTAAAGTCATATTGTGTACCATTATGTACATTATTAATTGGAAGATTTCCTGCATAATGAAGCCAATCAAGCCAAAAACAATTATTTTATTACCTGCTTAAAGGCAGGTGACACATGGTCAATTCACCTTTCAGATACAGTGATCACAATATGAGTAATGAATAAAATTAATGCTTAAGTACAGTAGATAGGTTTGGATGATCTTAGGAAGATAATAACAATCTTATTATTCCATGCTAGGAAGCAAAATATTCTTTCAGAAATTACCAGGTGCTTCAAATGCTCTGAAAGTATCATTGGTCAAGGGGAAAAATAGCACTAAAGGAGCAGCTGTGTTTTCTGTGTCTTCAAAAACGTAACACTCCTTCAGGTTGTTTTTTTCTTCCTCACTGACTTCTGTCTTGGGAAATGGGACCCCCAACCCAGAGACGTATTTTGAAAACTGGTCCAGATTCTGTGTGAATAAATTATCAAAGTCAAGTATAAAAAAATACTAACAAATATAAGTAGATAAACAGAGAATATAAAGATCTGATGCTACATATTATCTGGTATTATATAGAATTCTTTCATTTTGGCACATCTCTATCAGTATCTAAGATGAACAGACCATTATTACAAAAAGTTTCTAATTTGTGATTCAAATACTAGTATTATCAGCTTTATCAAAACTGGGTCTTAGTTTTGAGTGGTAGTGGTTAAACATGTCATTATATACTATAATGACATATACTAAACATGTCATTGTATACTGAATATTCTGCTTTATATGAGTTAATGTCTTAGAGTGGATTGTTGATCATAATACAGTATAAACTACAAATACTGCACATGAACTCAGCACCCAAAAAACTCCATAAATATTTAGAAACTTGGAAATTGTATGCTAGGATCTGTGCAACATAAATAAAACAAACAGTAACATCATTACTCTCTGGAACATCTTTACTGAAAATCTCAAAAATTTGAATATTTCTCAATATTTTCAAAGATATACAGTCCACAGTGAACACCTGCAATATTTGTACCATTTGTAAAAATAATAATTGATATATATAATCCATATTTAACAGATAGGAAACTGTTAAGGTTACAATATAGTAAGACAAGAAAAACAGTTGATGAATTATAATACACTGCTTGCAATCCAGAACTGCAAGGGTTGCAAATCCAATCCCATAGAGCTTTCCAAGCATTGCTTATGACAAAAACCAAGTTCCATAGAAATTCCAACTCATAAAATTCCTACAGGAAAAAAAAAAACCCTATCCTATTTAGAATTAATATACTCTGTGCTAGCCACATTCATCACTAAAATAATTAATCTTTCCCAAAATAAACAAGAATCCAAAGCAATGTAACCATTTTACTTTTAAAAAACTTACATAACTTATGTAATACAATGCTATTTGTAATGCTAATACAAAAGAGGCAAATATATCTCTTGTGTAATTAGAGTGCTCTTGAAATAGCCTGGAGTTCAGAGAGTATTGAAATGCAAAAAATTAAAGGCAGGGTTGTCTCTTACAAAAGTCTGTGCTCCTCCACTATAATTTAAATGTAGAATAACATCCACTCTCCTCTCTGATTTTAAAAGAGGTGGGTAGCTTGTATTGATGAAAAACCCAGTATCCACCAGAGATAAAGGTTGCTCTGCTGTTTCCATTAGAAGGTTCGGTCGAGAGTCCAGCACAGAATCTGAAAAGCAAAGATTTCCTGTCAGCTTTCTCTAGCAAGAATATACAACTTCTCTTGGGCAACTGGCTGCATGTAGCTTTCAAGGAGTGCTCAAAAAATATATTAAAAAAATAACAGGAGTGGTAAGACAATAACTTCATTTTATTTATACTTATACCTTAAAATTCATTGTAGTAAATGCAGTTATTTTCCAGCTATGTTTTAAATAATGTTTTCCTCTTTCCATATTTAAAGTAGTAAAAGCTTCTGGAGATCTCCAGAAGATGCACCCCAAGTTTTAAAAAATTAATTGTTTATGGGAAAAGTTTTTATCACCTCTCCTCCCTTCCAAATTTCATGTTTACTATCTTTCTTTTGCAGTTCCCAAGTCCTGCAATTTTAAACAATATTTCTTAAAGAATAGCATCTTTGGAAGAGGAACACAATGCATACATCAGTTATTCTGTCCATTTATTTGTTATCAGCATGAAAGCATGTTGTTATTAAAACAAATGGAGCTTGATTAAAGGAGGTACCTCAAGGAGTTGGGCTAGAATCAGTCAACTCAGCAATAGTCCTCTACAGGCCTTAGAGCACTCTTAAAGTACGTAATGTCATAACAGGATCTATAGTATTAGTTACTGTTTGAACAAGTGTCTATGGATTGATTATGCTTAGAACAAATTGTAGATGGCAAGTATCTCTCTTTTCTCTCTATTCCAGCTATCTATAGAATTACAATATTAGTTAGAAAAGGCTTCAATTTTGCTATCTAATTTGAAGGACAAGATGGTACTTTCTGATCTACACCACATCTAAAAGCCAAATGAAATGACATTTTATTTCAGCATTCACAATGAAACACAGTTTTCTAGTACAACTGGCCCTAAAAGAAACCTAATTCAATTTGTTGGCAGGATCCCTGATTGTCTAGGACTGCATTTGAAAAGGATTACCAGAAATGGGATGTAAAAATCTAGATATTTATTTATTTATATATAGCCTCCAGAAGTTGTGAGTGCTCCAACACTGGAAGTTTTAAAGAAGAGATTAGACAACCATTTGTCTGAAATGATATAGGGTTTCCTGCCTGAGCAGGGGGTTGGACTAGAAGACTTCCAAAATCCCTTCCAACTCAATTATTCTATTCTGTTCTTAGATGGCAACAAAGAGATAAATACGAGGGAGATAGGTGTTTCTAAATTTGACAGACACACAAATAAACAAAATGGAAACATTAAACTCCTTACTGAATAGTCATCTGGGTTTGTGTAAACCCAGAAATCTAACCTTGAGTTCTGAAGCCATGACCTGAACAGAAAATTGTGCCCTGACTAAATCAAATACAATTCAGCAAACATAATTATCTGTCAGGCCAATGGAACTTGTGCATGTATGAATACAGGAAATGGTGTATTACTAAATCACATAATTGATCCATCAGTTGATGATATGGATATTAACCTGTAGAGGTTCTCCAAGATTTTAAGCAAGAATTTGCAGCCATGCCTGGAAATGCCACAGATTGATTTGTGTACTTCTATATCCTAAAGATTCTTATATTAATTGAAAGCCCTTCTTTGGAGGACAACTGGATATTTTTACTGATATCAGTTTATTTAATAAATGATACTTCCATTTCATCTTATTGGTATAACTATAATATATTGTTTGTAAATTAAATCTAGTGTTTAAATTCCAATTATTTATTTTGAAAAATTTTAACCCAACTTTTCAAGTGAAAGAATTAGAGTTAACCAGCAGAATTTTCAATTTTCAATCCTGAAAAATTGGGAAAGGGTTTTGTAGAAAATAAGCATGTAGGTATTGTTTTCGAATGCTGTTGATAGCACCTGCTTCTTATATTGAAGACAAATCTAAAGTACTAGGGATTTTGTTGTTGTTAAAGTACAAACCAAAAAAGTAAAGATGACAACTACCACAGTGCACTGGGAGCTGCAACTATTTTTTGAATGTGTTGCACATTAAAGCTAGATTATCCATTGTCCTTAGTGAAATGTGTAAAGAAAAGATTATCATTCAGAAGTTTGGAACCAGCTAGCTACGTCCTAATTAAGTGTGATACCAAGAACACTTTATAAAGCCAAGAAAAATCACAAATATAAGTTTATTACTGTGCCTTTCCATGCAGAAAAATGGACATTCTTCAAATATTCATCATGAAACTGAAAACCTCTCAGGAAATTAGGATATTCTGCTATTGTTGGGCGTCCAGTTAAGACATCTCGGAAAGTAGAGGAAAGCTGGCTTGGGTAAGTGAGTAGGCGAGAGTCCAGCTCATGCGGCTTTGAAGGTAGAAGAGAATCATCTGTAAAAGACAGAAAGAACCGTTCATGCCTTTTGAGTCTACTCAGGTTTTTTAATGTGGGCACCAATAAGATCACAGCTTACAGGAGGTCCAACAGCTTATGGCAAAGTTTTGTGCAGAAGGATGGTTTTTAGTGTTCACATGCAAATATTTGTATATTTATTTGCAAAGTCTAGTGGCAAAAAAACATGGAGAGTCGTGGACTTTCACAGAAAAGATAGATGTGGAGGTGGTTGGGGAGACTATTATTATTATGGTTTTCCAAAGTGACCAGCCAGACTGTGACTTAGTTGTCAAATTCCTGGTAGTTTGCCTATGGCATCCCCAAAAAACAGATCCTCTAAAATAGCATTACTAGATGAACATGGCTTTTCTATCAAACATGCAATATGAAGAGAAGAGGTTGCCTCATAATCATCTTTAGCATATCCAGTTAAAAGTTGCATGGTCAAAAAGACAAGTTGGGAAAGACTGGCTCACAACCTTGGCAAACCATGGTTTATCACTGGTTGATGAAGGGCATACATTTAAACTGTAATGACTTGGAAATAAAACCCAAGATATATTTGGATAACAACCTTCGCTGCAAAACTATATATCAGTTTCCTTCTATGGAGTTTCCTCTTCCAAGTGTGTTGGGACTTAATTTCCAAAATTCCCTGACTGTATGGAAAGCATCGGGTTGAGAAAAGCTAATTTAAGCAACATATTTTAAACAAGCAATTGTCTTATCTATTCTGGCCATATCTGGAGATAAAACAAAAGAAAATTTAAAAACATCATTGTGGTTTAGGCCTGAAAAGCACTGGGTATTTCATTCTACTTGTCAAAATAATGGAGACAACTTTGCAAACATTTTCAAACTTATCTAAACTAAAAACAATAACTTCATACAGAAAATATCCCTTCTTACTCGGATGAACTCATTAATTTTAATAAACAATAACAAATTTACAAACCAGGAAAGGCAAGAAGGGAAAAAAGAAAACACCTTACCAATATCTTGTATTCTGTCTCTTGTCCATCTATACCAGAATTCTTCTGAGTCATAAGCTATATTCCAGAAATAGATTAAATCCAAAGAAAATATGCTGCTCCACATACCTGTCAAATAAATTTAAATAATTTTAATAAATGTAAATAAAGTCTTAACTGATAGTGTCAAAATGAAATGAAATTGCTTCATTTCCACTGCACTTAAAATTTCAGCTTTCAGCTTTTACCCACATTCTGAGTTTTTCAGATATTTCTAATCAAGAATTGTTGGGTTACATAAATATATTTTACATAACCATAAAGGCTTGCTTTATAACTTGATCAATTAGAAAAACAAAGTCAGTAATCCTTGTAGCCACTTCAGATACTTATGGAAAACTACTGAAAACAGCCAGAAAACAATAAATCCATGCATTACCTCAGGACTCACATTCCTGGAAAAGGAAAAAATAATCTGGGAGAAAACTTTCCAAAGAGCAAAGGTAATTTCCCTTGTCCAGTCATTTCTGACTCTAGGGCAGGGGTAGGCAACCTTGGCTCTTTAATGACTTGTGGACTTCAACTCCCAGAATTCCTGAGCCAGCATAGGAGTTGAAATCCACGAGTCATAAAATAATAATAATAATAATAATAATAATAATAATAATAATAATAATAATAATAATAATAACAACAACAACAACAACAACAACAACAAAGTTGGAAGGGACCTTGGAGGTCATCTAGTCCAACTCCCTGCTCAGGTAGGAAACCCTATACCATTTCGGACAAATGGCTGTCCAGTCCCTTCTTAAAAACATCCAGTGTTGGAGCATTCACCGCTTCTGGAGGCAGGTTGTTCCACTGGTTAATTGTTCTGACTGTCAGGAAGTTTCTCCTTAGTTCTAGGTTGCTTGTCTCCTTGATTAGTTTCCAAGGTTGCCTACCCCTGCTGTACCCCCCCCACCAGTAGAGTCAAAGAACCGGCTTCTTCAGTGATAAGAGGTTTCTGGGAAAGACGTCACTACACCGGTCGTATACGGCTCAGAGTGTCTTACGCCAAAGGAAGGGTGGTTCCACCATGGATAAATAGATGAACGTAAACGTACGAAAGTTTGACGATTCTTCGAGTGGGGAAACACACCGTAAGCCCAGACAAACCTGGGTTATCAGCTTTCCAACTGACAAGGTCGGCGTCTTTAACTGCTGAGCCATCATGTCCCCTTCTTTCAAAGAGCAGGCAAGTATGATTTTATTCTGAAGATAGTCTAAGGGAGATTAGCTGTTCAACTATCATCACTGAGTTCTGCATTGAGTTATATCTGCCAAAATATCATCATCTATATAGCTATGAAATGTACAAGAATTTCTCTTAATCTCATGCACATTTACCACTCACCCTACTGATAGTTCACATTCTGAGTGCTTGGTCAACTGATCATGAAAAAGAAAAACAATTTGTCTCCCATCAAAAGTGAAATCACATTAAATATTTTGTATGACATGTATAGAAAGCAGAGTAGAAATAATAAAATACATTTTTTAAAAAATGACTGGTGAAGGAAAAACCAGTGGGGACTAATAAAGGAGAATATTTGTAGCTCAGGGTTGACATGAGGGGTCCTTGGTGCTCTCTGAGTGTGCTTGTTTTCTTGCAGACATTTCATTTTCCCAACTAGGTAGCATCATCAGTGCTAGTAAGGAGTGCTGTTTGCTGTTAGTTTATATTTTAGTGGCTTGCCTGTCAGTGTTGGTGGGGGTGGCCTTAGAAATTCTTTGATTGGGCTGTTTGCTGTTGGCTTCTTTGGCAGTTTCTTGATTGGAGTATTGTTTATTTGATTGCTGGTCTGATGTTAACCTTGAAGTTAATCTATGCTGATCTGGGTGCTGATTGCTGATGGAGAGGTGCCTGGGTCTTTTTCTTCCTTTTTGGCCTGGGTGATAGTCTCTTTTGCATAGTCTATAGATGTTGTTAATGTCTATGTGTCTATTGATGACTGATTTGTCAGAGTGTCGTGCTTCTAGAAATTCCCTGTCATTTTTGGACTTGGCTTGGTCTAGGATGGTCACATTTTCCCAATTCAAACTATGATTAAATCTGTCTATATGTTGTAAAATTAAAGAATTTTCATCATGTCTTCTGACTGCTAGTTGGTGTTCGTGGATGCATTTTGCCAGTCTTCTGCCTGTTTGTCCTACATAGTGGTTGTTGCAGTCTTTACTTTGTATGTTGTAGAAGACTCCTGTTTTTTCTTCTGGGGTTGTTGAGTCTTTTGGTCTGCTTAGGATGTTTTGAAGGGCTTTACTTGGCTTGGGTGCTATGCTGATTCCATGTGGTTGTAGTATTCTGTTGGTGGTTTCTGAGATATTTTTGATGTATGGCAGTGTAATTCTTTTTAGGGTATGTGTTGGTTGTGCTATATTGGGTGGAGTAGTCAGGGACTTTTTAATAAAATTGCATGGCTATCCATTTTGTTGGAATATGTCATATAGATGTTTATTTCCTTTTTCTGCTGTTCTGGTTTGCTGCAGTGTGTTTAGGCTCATCTAAATAAAGGGGATTGGGGAGTCCGGAGTTACTGTTTTTTATTCTTTTATATTGGGTTTTTTATTGTTTGTAATCCACCCAGCATCATTGAGTCATATAAATCTTACAAACAAACAAACAAACAAACAAACAAACAAATAAATAAATAAATAAATAAATAAATTCTTGGAAAAAATAATGTAGGCAATTTACAACATTGCACAATAACTTCCTTTTGTTTATAGTACGGTTTTATTTACCTTGCATGAAGCAAGGTACTTATTTATTTACCTTGCATGAAGCAGATCCGAATTTCTGGGAACTTCTTCATCAGTCGTCCCACAAAGAATTCATTCCCAAAATCTTCTGAACGAATATAGGCACCATATTTTATACTTCCCACCTCATAAGGAGTGAATTCTAGCCATTCTGGAAGCACAAGATGGCCATTAATATATCTTAGACATTCTCAGTTACAAAATTACATAAGCTGTTCTTTTTTTATTATTTGTTTTGCCCTGGGAGTGGGAATTTTATTGTATCTAGGAACTTGTTCTCTTCTCTGAGAATTCGTTCCTGTCTAAGGTGAAAAAATTCTCACCTATTTAGATTTTACTATTAAACAATTAAAATGTTAATACGGAATAATATGACTCAATACCGGTATATATCAGAGTTTAATACAGCATTACCTTTAAAATCTTGAGCACTGTAGTTGTCTTTTAGGTTGACTGCCAAGTAAATAGGGAAAGGATTCTGACCTTCATTCACGGCCATGCACTGATCAGAAAGGGTGTGATTGTCTTTCTTCGACAGAGGGAGAAAAATATGTTTGTTGACCAGCAGGTGTCCACAGATGTATCAGTTTTATTAGAGAACTCACTATGAATTTTAAGCTAACAAAGATATCTAGAGTCCTTCTCTGTTTGCTAGACCGTAAGCAAGATGGAGTGGAACAGGGGAAGATTTACGTGTGTATAGGAACTTACATGTGCTACATATCTATGTTAATCCTCATGTAAGAACACAGGAAGAGCCTTGCTATGCCAAATATAAAGATCATCTAACAAAACATCCCAGTTCTCACAAACAGCAAATATTTCCAGGTTGTCCAAAAGCAGAATGTGTAGGTCAACTGCCTTCTCTCACTACCCACACATGCAACTTTTAATCCTGAACATAAGTATATGTGGCTAATAATCACTGAGAGGTGAATTTTTCATATATTTGTTATC